TTTTATATTTTACTAATCTTTTTCTTTGCATGTCATTGCATCTTTACTTTAATGATAACTACTGTTATTAAAAATAAAATAATACAAAATTAAATGAATTCATTTGGATCTTTCTTCCAGTTAAAATTACTTTTTTTAATGCCTGCCACATTGATTTGCTGTCAGTGAAGTGATGGGTGCTGCTGTTTTATAGGGTTGCTGATATTAGAGGCAGTTGGTGTAATTTGTCTTGCTCTCTATTCAAAATTACCCACCCTCATTATTTTGATATTGATGGTTTTGATCATGTTATTTATTGTTTCTTTACCAATTTTACACTTCTTTATACCCCTCTAAAATTTGGAACAATGTCTTAGATGTTTACAGTGATGTGTGTTTATTGCAGAATAATTATATCTTTATTTCTATTAATAACAGAATTTCATATTCACTCACTGAACACTATTGGGTACACTTTGCTACTACCATGTTGAACCGTGTCTTCTTCATGGCATCAATTCATCAAGGTAATGAAAATATCCCTTTGAGATTTTGGTCCATATTGACATTATAGCCTCACATTGTTGCTGCTGATTTATTAGCTGTATTAGGGAGATGCTCTACTGGATTGAGATCTGGCACTGTAGAGGTCATTTAAGTAAACAAGTGAACTCACTGTCAGGTTCAAGAAATGAGTTGGAGATGGTTTAAGCTTTATTTGATTTTTGGTGCATTATCCTGCTGGAAGCAGCCACCAGGATATGGGTACATTGTGATTTTAAAGGGATCAACATGGTCAGCAACAACATTCAGGTACACTGTGGTGTTTAAACAATGTCCAATTGGTTCCAAGGAACCCAAAGTGTGCTAAGAAAATATCCCACACCTTTACACCACTCTGTAAACCATTGAGATGTTTGTATGGGAAAATCCCAGTAAACTAGCAGCTCGTCTGGCACCAACAACATACCCTGCTCACGATCACTTAAGTCACCATTCTTCCTCATTCTGATGCTCACTTTGACCTTCAACAGGTATTTTGACCACATCTACATGTTTAGCCAACCACAGCTGCATTAACAGGTAGTTAAATAGGTATACATCACAAAGTGACTAGTGGATCTATACTAAATGCATTACTTGTTCCATTTTGTACCTGATAATGCAGCGTAAAGGGAATCTCAAAAGCTGAAAAATGTTATTTACACCAAGACCACTGAGCTCTTTATAATTGCCCTTCCTTACTAATCCACATAGGCTCAAACCAACCTCCTAGGACCTGGCGTCCACATATGTGGACATCACATTTTGGGTTATTTAGACTAAAATACTCAATTTTGCTCTACAAGGCCCTGATATCCACTTACGAGGACATTATACCGCTACTCTTCTATCAAAATTTTAAACGAATATGCATATGTGGCTCTCATTTTTCTTAGAACAAAAATTCGGTAAAAAAAAAACCTTGTAATTCTTTGTTTTTACATTCATCAGGTCCCAATATGCCCAAATATCAAAAAGAAATTAAAAATGCATGCCATGGAAGAGTTCGGGTCTTAGCAGGTTAAATCCATAAGAGTATAGGAACTTTGTTACCTAGCTTAACCTTAGCTTGTTCTCTAGCTGTTTTTGCATATAGTGTCCTGTGTGTATTACATTAAAGCCAAGTAATTAAGAGTGGATTAAATGGTAAATGGTCTGTATTTGTATAGCGCTTTACTTGGTCCTAAGGACCCCAAAGCGCTTTACACTATACACAATCATCCACCCATTCACACACTGGTGATGGCAAGCTACAGTGTAGCCACAGCCGCCCTGGGGCGCGCTGACAGAGGCGATTAATGGAGTATTTCCAAATGTGCACAGACCCCTGTGACTAAAATCTAATAAATAAACAAAAATGAAACTTCTCCAGATCAGTATATATATAATACACAAGTGTATCCACTGCAGCCCTCTGAACAATGCTCTCTGTCTCTTTTTTTTTCTCTTTGTCCTACTTTTTTTTTAGCCTCTACATCCCTGAGAACCTATGGAGAAATGTTAAGAAAAACACACACAGAAGCTGTAAATAATAGAAAGGACCAATACAGTCTTTGTGGCAAGAGCTGCAAAGTAAATGCATCTCTATTGTCTTTGAATGCTGCAGTATAAAAGCTCAGAAGTGTACTTTGTTAAGCTTACTGGACTGCTTTGATTGTCTGTGATAAATCATCTGACTATAAACAAACTGTTCATCTTAAATAGTAAATGATGTACAATAGATGGACACAAATGAGTATGTCTCATCCTCATACTTCTCATCCAGGGGCGATTTTAGCCTTTTTTTGGGGGTGCTTCAACAAAATGGTTTGTTCCAGCCCACCTCTCCCCTACTCTGACTCTAGCGCCGTTGCTGCCAGAGCGATGGTGGCTGAGACGCAGCGGAGCGGA